AACGAAATACCAAGTAGTCAAACAAAAGTATCAACAGCTGCGCTAAAAGGGGGCGACACACGACAAAATTATTCCAGACGTTGAAATCGAATTCAACACTATGGGCCATTCGACCAAGTCATGAACTAAACAGAAGTCCGCAGCCAAGAAAGGATTTTACCATATCACAGAAACCTGTTTTCAGAAGCGGACGATTACTCTATAGCAACTCCCATCACCGCATTCAATAAAGTCAACAGTTGGAAGTGAAGTGACAGCAAAGTATAGTGGTCCCCAAAGACATTACGGGGTAAGGCATGATAACCTCAACAAAGGAACCGGCCAGTTTGCAGGAGAAACGTGTACAGCAGTGATGAGTTACAGTTCCCAAATCATGAAATTTATTTTTAATAGCGATTCAATAAACGAGAAACAGGGCGTAGCAGGATTGGCACAAGGACAACCAAAACACCTTAAACAATCAGTGAGATGACGCTGATAGAAACCAGCTTCTAGGATACGGCGGAAAGGTCGCGGCACGGAGACTATGTAATGAAACACCAGCCTCGTCATGCTGAGTAATCTTGCGAGCGTTACTCTGCAAACATTGATCTCAAAACCGAAGGAGTACATTAGCAAAACCAAGGGAAAGTAGGCAATACAGCATGTCAACTGTAGCAATGAGAAGAGTTTTATGTCAGACAAACTGGGAAGAAAATATGTACTCGAGTAAAAAACAATGCTGTCATTGCAAGGCATGATACCTATCCCCAGTCTCCATACATAAGGACGAAAACGTGAAAGTTTTGGCACACAGTGACAACAGACGTAAAGGAGAATTTCCGGAGGTACGGCACTCAACAATGAATCCGACCAACGAGTCGAAGTGGACCCTAGTCAGGAAAAAAACAGTGACTCAATCTGAATACTCTAATGGAGCCAACCATCAGGTTAGTAAGCCGAAATAAGAAACGTCCTGGAGTCATGTCAACAAGTCACCGTACGAAAACCAGAGGTTTATGAGGACCCGCTCAAGCACCGACCAATAGGTCAGAGTAGACAAATAAATTCAAGGATCACGTGTACACTGACCAGGTAGAGCATAGGTTTAACTAAACAGTCGATCATAACAGTAGGTCAAACCCAGCTACAAGCATGCATCTTAACAGACACGCCACTATAGGGCAGCGCTACACAGTGATGTAAGGATGTGATCTAGACTGGCGATGAAACGTTTGCGACCTAATTGCCTACCTCATTGAAAAAACCTGTAAACTGTGCCCCAAGTTGGCACGTTCCGCACCGCGTTCGGGTATTGTTTTATCGACCGTTCAGAAACCTGGGATGGCAATCGCTACCAATAAACAAGTTGACCAATAGTTTATTTCAAAGTAGAATTGCCACCGTTATCGTCACCAGCAATTCGAATAGGAATAAAGGTCCATTTGAAACAATCGAAATCAATCAGCTATAGAACCCTTTCGGTACCTAGCTGGCATACCGCCAGGTTGCACAGGCCTAACGGGGTAAGTCGAGAGGCAGAGATCGGGTTCGAACCACAGACCGTCCGGTCAGCGAATTCACTGAGCCATCTGGTCCATGTGAAACAATCCCACTGATAATGTCAGAAATACGTGTGTGGAGCAAATGTCGCGTCAACACGACACGCAGTCGTTGTGTTGCTCACGTTACTTTTAACAAGGGATTGTAAGTTTGATTGCCTCATTATATGTTCTGTGTGGTCAAACACTTTCAAATGTGGCCAAACACGCGAAATTAGGCGCTCATAATGACCGGAGAAGATAATTCATGGGTGCGTATTGCTCGATTTTACTGGTGGAGACTGCAACTTCGAAACCATTGTTAAGCTCACTAGTACTGGAGTTTCGACCACCCGTCACCGATCAGTTTTTAATCCGGTAACTTCTTTTCGACTAGCATGATTTGAGCTTATTCTAAATGTCTCAATTTTTGGTGTGCATTGTTTTGCCTGTTAGTCTGAGCCAGTTGATGTGGTAACAAATTTTATCAGCTGTGTTCTTCCCATCGTCCGCTGTATTCTGTAGCTTTGCGCCCTTTACCTGCATCGGGAGGCTTCATTGCCCTCGACCTCCATTTTTGCTGTCTTTCTTTTTTACCGAATGTTTATTTCTCACCATTTCTGTTCCGCGGTAGACTTTCATCATGCGTCCCACCGGGGTACACTTTGTAAATCTCATGTTTCTTCGTCCGTGCATGCAATGAACTATGCCTGTGCTTTCGTCATTTTTCTAACCCTAATAACTACACCACAACTAAGCGCAACACCTCACGAGTACCTGCTCTTGGTACTTTCGCCTTGCCACTGTCCAGCTTCCCTGTGTATTGTTTGGTCACACGTTTGATAATGTTTCCAAGACATTTCAACGACGCTTTACGGCCTAACTGCATTATACTGCTAGCGTAGCTATCCAGCCTTGGTTCACCGTAACCGAATGGTATGCCACTGGCCAAGTGCATATAGCTGAGCTTGATACCTCCGGCTCGATTGTCGCATGCGTTTCCGTTTTTACGAGCGTCTTCACTGTGATGCACCGGTAAAGTCCGCACCCTTCCTGTTTCAAACAATTTTGAGTGGCGGTTGATGTTACAGTCAAATAAGTGACAGCCATGTTGCTGTCTATGATGTTATTCAACATACAATAGCATCACAGGTGCTTTCGGGGTATCCTTGATTGGGTTTCATTTATATGTAATCTCAACTGGTTTTGTTGTATCCGACCCTGTGATTCTGTTGTGTCATTTGTTTGCCTCGCCCTTATATTCTGCGTGTATGAATTTGCTTCCCGGTGTTTCCGGTTTCTCGAGTGAATGTAACATATCGAGCTAGGTCAGGAATCTCCCTGTTCGATAGCCACCGATTCCAGCGAGGTCAGTAAATTTGCTCAGTTTTCTACTACTGTGCAGTTCTCGGGTGTTCTGCACCGAACTTATTGGCATACCTGACTGGGGGGGGGAAGTTGCTAACCTTGGACGAAACCGATCACCTTTTCATAAAATTATATTTTGCAAATCTGCTTATGTGAGTCCTACTCCTCTCAACTTTGGTTGGCTACCTCACGTATGCTGTGGCTGGCTTTTGAGCCACCATGGAATCGTCAGAAATTGAGCAGATCTGACTGAAAGACGTTGCTACTACCGGTACTCTTCCTGAGCTTCCAGGGATTACAGAACCATGTGTCCGAGTGAACAGCCACACGGTTTACCCTAGCTGTTCGGAACACCTACGTGTGACTTGAGCAATCCACACTGGTGGGATGTAATTTATATCGTGTTTCAGTTCAGTCGACTACGTGCTTTTCTGCCTGATTCGGTCACACTGCGGCTACATTCTTGGCTGAAGGCACCGTTCCTTAAACCTAATTCTCCAGGTGTGACATTTACTCCAATTAGTTGAGTTCACTGGTGAGTATTGATTTCCGCTCGGCGCGAATTCGCTGTGCTGTACTTGTTATTCCGACCATGTTCTTCCATATTCCTTGTCGATGTTCCGCCGACACATGCAACGTAATAGCTTTCATGGTGAAGGACATTCGGCCAGACAAGTTCAGAGTTAAGGTTTATCGACGCTGCTAACGTGTCGATATTCGCGTCATTGTTCGTAACTGTCTTCTTCCAACTTCAACAGGTGATATTCTCTTGACGTAAGCAGAAATTCTAGTGGAGTTTGGTAGCGCGCACACCTTGTTGGTTGATCACCATTGGTTCGTCGTCATTTCCCCCCCCCTGATTTTTTAATGCATTGATTGCATTTCTACTTACAGATGCCAACCGAGCTGGAGTCTCAAATCTGGTAAGCAAATTCTAGCTCTTTTCAAATTAACCACCCCATTGGGTCGTTGGTCTTTTCCCCCCCCCCTGATTTTTTAATGCATTGATTGCATTTCTACTTACAGATGCCAACCGAGCTGGAGTCTCAAATCTGGTAAGCAAATTCTAGCTCTTTTCAAATTAACCCGGCGCCAAGATCAAGTGAAGAATCGTGTGAAGAGCGAATGTTTTATCCACCTGGTTTAACCTATGTGCACGAATCGGTCGAACAGCAGTCACATACCAAAGCCTCAGACCATTTTGAGATTGGCAATGGTATTTCCCGACCTAAAGTTGCTACCTTGACGTGGTGGCCGGGCTTGAGTGCTACAGTGATCCCGCGGGCTACACTGGCTGGAACTTAGTTCCACAAGGTACAACCATGCCAGGAAGGCCAAAGGGGAGCAGCAAGACCAACAGCAGCGAGATCCCGCACTACGAGTACTCGTGGTACGAGGCGGTCTGGGGCTAAAGCCGTACTGTCCTCTGCGGCAGGAGTGTGAAGGCAGTAAGGTGTTTCCCCCAGGCGACCAGCATGTCCATATTTATGGAAGCAGCGATGCTGCCTTCCCCCGAGGAAGGACGGGTTAGAAAAGGTCGCCCCCAAAAACCGCACACTCCGATCGCCCAACGGTTGACCGTGACCGCCGGCGCATTATCCAATACGGTCGAAATACTTTTAAAACCAAAGAGCCCGGTGCTGCTCA